ACACACACACACACACACACACACACACACACACACACACACACACACACACACACACACACACACACACACACACACACACAAGCTCCAGGCTTGTTTTGTGCATTACACACACACACACACACCCCTGTACGCATGCACACACAAAATCCCACCTACCTTCTCATTGATCTGATGCAGGCTCAGCCCTCCAACACGTGTCGACAGGTCTATCAGGCCTCGACGGTTGGCCGCGTTCTGCTTGTTGAAGGCATCTCTTCGCGAGGCCATCATTTGTTCTGTGCGGCGCCGGGAAGCAGCGGAGTGGCTGACGGGGCTCGGAACGGCCAAGGTGGAGAGGTTGGCCCGATGCTCTGCTTCTCGGGACTGCACGAAGGACTGACGGACACTGTCATAGGCACCTGGAGTCATTTCAAAACATGGGCATCCAGGGATCGTACTAGATGGTGAAGACATTGGCAAGTACTTCTGCTAGCGTGAAACCCTGCTCCCAGATCATTGATGGGCATATAGTTTATGACACTTCTAGTGACAGGAGCTGTAGAAGCATCTAAACTTTCTTGCCTCTCACCAGAGTGATTTCCTGAATTATAAGTAACAGTGAGGTACCTTGAAATTAGCGCTAGGCTGCAAAGGACACAGTGGTTTAGCACTGAACTCTTTACTGTTGTTGCTGATCTAGCACTGTTTCTCCTATTGTGAAGCATCACACGAGGGATTCCCTATTCTAAAAAGCTGACAAAACAATCTCACAGCTTTCTTTTCAATGTGAGGTATGAAATCCGGTCGGATCACCAGTAAAATGGAGTGAAAGTGACACCGATTTCTTTAAAAATGTAAATTATTCTATGCTACTAGTAGGCTTTGCATTACAGTAATTTGATAGACTGCAAAGCAGGAATCATTTTTGTGATAGAATCATTGGAAATTGCAGTGATGTACTGTATAAAGAAATGCACTGACTGGTCTCAAAACTGTAGTGTGAGCATCCAGGCAGAAAAGGGGCAGGTGGAGGAGGAAGAGTTGCCAACCTTGGATCTCCAGATGTTCTTGGACTAAAACTCCCAGAAGCCTTCACCACTAGTTGTGCTGGCCAGAATTTCTGGGACTTGTTGTCCAAGAACATCTGGGGACCCAAGGTTGGAAACCACTGCAGTTAAAAAATCGTACAACAAAATGCATGGCGAGTTAGGGATTTTGAACTGCTTTGGGCCTCTAGATGAATGTTGGATGCTTACCCAAAACATTGGCATTGATGAGGGCATCCAGCTGGCGCACCAGGTCTGCCATAGTGAGATTGAGGCCACGAGCGCCCCGCTCCAGTGTGCCCAGGGCATGGTTTGCATTGAAGTTCTTGTCCTGGGTGGCTGTCAAGGAACCCTCCAAACGAGTCAGTGTTTCTGTTACATCAGCGATCTCTTGCCTGGGCAGAAAGAGAAATCAAGGGCATCACCTCTGAGAGGCTTGACTATTGCTCCTCCTCCATACAATGCACCGTAAGCCTTGCATTGATTAGGGGGACTGTAGCTCAGTACTGTAGTAGAGAGCAGCTGTTTTATGCACTCCAGGCTTCCAGTTTGGTCACTTAGACAGATCCACTCTCTAGTAATGGGAAGGAAAACAAGCTGTTTGCTTAGGAGAGCAGCTGCCAGCCAGAAACGCAAACAGCCTGACCTGGTGGTACATGGCACGTTCCTATAGTTCAATGTTTCCTCTCCAGCAGTGGATTGCCAGATGGGAAATCCTATCTCCATCAACACATGGGAGGAAAGCGACAACATAGACAAACCCCTGATGTTTGTCCTGGGCTGATCTTTGGAGGCGCACCACCTGGGGATGCGCAAGTGGCATTTATAGTTGAGGAAGGTGAAAGCTGTTGACAGACAACTTAATGAGGAAGGGGCAGGGAGGAGAATGAATCCTTTCTAAAAGACCACTGGCTGGGCTTTCACTGGATCTAAAGGAATCCACTGCTTCCAAAATCCTGCCATCCCATTCCAACCAGAATAGAAAGTGTGTGGTAGAGAGGTTATGGCCCTAGCATATTTTTTCCAGGCCTGTTTCCAGGGTTCAAAGTGCCTTTTAGGTGGGCTGAAAAGGTTTTTGGCCAATGAATCCAGGCATAGGTAGCTGTTTCAGGCCATTTGTTTGTTGTGGGGGAGCAGATGGATAACTGCCTTGGCCCCTCTTTGGGGAGAAAGGCAGGATGTAAAGAAAGTGACTAAACACAAGAGAAAAATAAATCCACCACCCGCCTGCAGCCCTCCATGAGCCAGATTGTGCCAGCAAGGATGGCTTTTCCAACCTCTTTGTTCTGCTTCCTGCTTCCTTGCCACTAAGATACGGCCACTGTCCATAAAAAATAACTTTGCCACCTGACCCATGCCAGCATATCCGTTTTTCCCCTGGCCATCTCTGTTCCCAGGCCGATGCCAGTTCACAGTGGTGCCCGACTTTTGACTCACCGCAGCTCATCCATGCTATGCAAGAGGTGGGTGCTGGCAGTGGCATTGCGGGCACCGATGATCGCTTGGGCAGCGCTCAGCTTCTCCTGCAGCCGCCGGAAGGCCCCTTCGAAGGCTCCAGTCAGGCCTGACTGTTGAAGATGTTGGGCGCGCTCTGCCAGGCTGTGGGTGCGAGCGGCCAAGTCCTGAACAATCCGGTCCCAGTCCCCAAAGCATTCATGGCAGGGCTGGCAGGCAGGGAATTCGCCAGCAAAACCTCGGGAGCACTGGTCGCAGCGCACCCCAGACACGCCTGGGCGGCAGGAGCAGTGCCCCGTGAGGGGGTGGCACTGGGGCTTCTCGATCCCACGAGGGTCACAGTCACAGGCTGCACGTAAGACAGATTCTGTAAACAAGAGAGACCTGGCCCACCCACTCTTCCCTCTTATACAGCACATCCTAGCTAGTGACTGTTTTGAGTTACACTTCCCCCTCCCCTCCACCTCCAAAACCCCAGCCACTACAGCCCGTCAGCAGGCTGTCAGGGCCAGAAGTGTTCTGGAAGCTACACAAAAAAGCAAACTTTTCAAACTCTGAAATTTGCAGACAAAAGCCAGACGGCATCTCCCTCACCTGCCGCCTCCCAATCTGGCTCCTCAAAATGCCTCCTTCTCGTCTCACTCCCCTCCACACTACTTCTTCTTCTTGTTGTTGTTACTCTCCTACTAGAGGCTAGGTGTCATCCTGGCTGTTCTGGCTTTAGACACAGCAGTTTTAAATGCTGATCTTGTCTTGCATTCAAAGCATCCTCCTCTGTCTTCTTCAACCAGGAAATTCTTCTCCTTCCTGAACCTCTTTTCTCACGGAGCAGCGGGGACAATCTGTACTTTTCACTTCTCAATAACTGAACAAAATATTTTGGCTTCCTGCATCCATGGTTTGTAGGTTTACTTGCTTTTTATTCCTTTGTTTTATTGTTTCTTCAGAGTCACCCTCCTAATCCAAGACATTTATTGCCACTTCCAATAAAGCAATATTTCAAATGCTTCTTTTTTCTTCTTCACATAGTGGCTTATCTAAAAGGCCAGGATTCCATACCATGGTGTAGAATTGAGAATAACCAGCACTACACAACATGCACTTGCCAAGCCAGTTTATTTTCTTGTTTCTTGTATATCCCAGCCTTCATCTTAAGGAAACTTTTCAGAGCCCCCTTTGATCTGACACGTGTTGCTTGCCTTCTCTTCTACTTATATTCTATTTCATAGAATTGTGAAGTTGGAAGGGGCCTGTAAGGCCATCAAGTCCAGCCCTCTGCTCAGTGCAGGAATACAAATCAAAGGATATCTGCCAGGTGGTTCTCTAAGTGTCTCTTGAATGCCTCCAGATTTGGAGCACTCACCACCTCTCGAGGTATTTGGTTCCACTGCCGTACTCCTCTAACAGTTAGGAATTTTTTTCTTGATATTCAACTGAAATCTGGCTTCCTAGAATTTGATCCCATTGTTGCATATCCTGCACTCTGTGATGATCGAGAACAGATCCTGCCCTTCCTTTGAATGATAGCCTTTCCAAGTATCTCTCCACACTCTTCTTTTCTCAAGGCTAAACATACCCAGTTCTTTTAGTCTTTCATCACACGTAAGGTTCCCTATAAGTTGGTGCCCAGTTCTTTCAGTCTTTCCTCACATGTAAGGTTCCCTATAAGTTGAGCACGCGTGCCTCTGCCTCCTTCCATGCAGATGTCTTCCTCCACCACACAGCAATCGTGTTAGGTTCTGGTCGCAACAGCACCCTGTGCATGGGGGTGCGGAGTTGCGCATGGAGGAGTAAAGTCACGTGTGAGAAAGGCAGAGCCCTGCCCAGCGGAGCTGGAAGTTAGAGGGCACGTTTGTTTGTTTGTTTGTTTGTTTGTTTTTTGGACTTATATACTGCCCCATAGCGCTACAAGCACTCTCCGGGCGGTTTACAATTTTTAATTATACAGGCTACACATTGCCCCCCCAGCAAGCTGGGTACTCATTTTACCGACCTCGGAAGGATAGAAGGCTGAGTCAACCTTGAGCCGGCTACCTGGGAATTGAACCCCAGGTCGTGAGCACAGTTTTAGCTGCAGTACAGCGTTTTAACCACTGCACCACGTTGCTCATAGGGCTTGGTTTCTAGCCCCCTGATCATCCTTGTTGCTCTCCTCTCAACGTATTCCAATCTGTTCACATCCTTCATCAAGTGTGATGTCCAGAACGGGACACAATACTCAAGGTGAGGCCTAACCAGTGCTGAATAGAAGGGGGTACCAGCACTTTGTGGGATTTGGAGACTATACTTCTGTTAATGCAGCCTAAAATAGCATTTGCCTTTTTTGTAGCCACATTACACTGTTGGCTCACATTAAGCCTTGTGATCTACAAAGACTGCAAGATCCTTTTCACTTGCAGTATTGCTGAGCCAGATCATCTCTCTAGATCATTTTAAATTTTGTTTCTGTCTTCCAGGGTATTAGCAATTCCACCCAATTTTGTGTCGTCTTCAAATCTGATTAGCATTCCCTGTATCCCCTGATACAGGTCATTAATTTAAAAAATATTGAATAGCACTGGGCCCTATGTTGTTTATTTAAGTAGTGTCTCGATTCTCCCTGTGTGTACCATTTATCTCATCCTTCATTTTTTTGTTTACTAGTCCATTGAAAAGAATCCAAGCAGATCATTTTCAGGATTTCTCTATCCCTGTTATCACTGAGTTTCAGCATGGACATGGTTCCATTTGCCCGTATTCTCCAAGGTTTTGTATCTCCCTTGCCAGGATTCATTTCTGCTCACCGCCACCTACTCACCTCTGCATTGCTGGCTGGGTTCACCCCAGTGGTTCGCCTGGCATTCTGAGCAGGTGCGGCCACCAAATCCTGGTCGACACTGGCACTGCCCTGTGAACTGCGAGAAACTCCCTGTTAGAGCGACAGCATCGGAAAGACCCTCCGACCGCCACCTATGTAACACCCCACAGCAAAGTGAAATAGAAAAGGTGCCATCAAGGCACACAGGCAGAGATGCAAACCAATGATATGTAGTACACAGCAGTATTAGCAGCACGACTTGGGTCATATCGTGCTTTAGGGTGTTCAGAGGATTTCAGATATATTTGCCATGCAATATTTGTTGCAGACCCATTCTTTAATCCAAGCCAGAATCTCCTGGGTGAAGCACAACCAGCTCACCTCAGGATTTAGATCAGAGTGGCAAGGCAAAGGCTGTCTCCCTGTTGCTGGGGTAAAAAAAAAAGGAACTATAATATAAACGCTTATTTTAAATTTGGTGGTTATTCCAAAACATGCCTAGGTCTCTGAATACAACATTCCCCAGTCCACTACTCTTCAATGGTGTGCTAGAAGTAATGAAAATGGTCATCTGAAAAGTCTGAAGGGTGCTGGTTTGGGAGAGACAGCCTTACATTGACCCCACCAGGTAGACAAGAATTATATCATCCATTTACCCCAGTGATGCACGTGGCATAGCAAGGGACGCATTTGAAACTACAGGAACATGGCTTGCCTTGGCCCATCTGAGCTCCCAGCAGAGGTGCAATCTGGCCAGGAGACTTCTCAGTTCATGGCTCCGTTTCTCTGCACTCTTGCTAAAGAAACCTAGAAGAGCTCCTCTACTTTGCTGTCGGACAGATGCCGTAGAGAGACCGGTTCAGTTCCCCATCTTGGCTTAGTGCCAAGCTGAAGGATACTTCCGTTCATGCACTCTTGCTTCCGTGTTGAAGCCCTGCACCTCCTACGCCTTACTGTAACACCCTTGGGTGATGCTGCCCATCGCCTGAGCATCCTGGCAGATTGATTGATTGATTGATTGATTGATTGATTGATTGATTCATTCATTCATTCATTCATTCATTCATTCATTCATTCATTCATTCATTCCATTTATACCCCGCCTATCTGGTCATATTGATCAGATCTCCTCTATATCCCTGCCTCGTGCTTCTAGCTACACTGTGGCCCGACATGGATCTAAACAGGTGGCTTCATCTGTCATCTTGACGCGGGACGTTTCCTCCAAGCAGCGGAAGGCAATTTACATGGCATGTGCCCTCTTCTCCTCTTCATTTTATCCTCAACATAACCCTGTTAGGTAGGATAGGGCTGAGAACAAAACTGAGGGGGACTAAAATGACCAGCTTGCATTCTTCCAGTGAAGTTCATGGCTAAGCAGGGATTTGAACCCAGGCCTCCCTGGTCCTAGTCTAACATAGTAACCACTGCACGACCATGGCTCTGAACCCTCAGACCTGCCTGCGGATGCTCCCGGCCCTGCCTTGTGCAGCATACAGCGAGGCCTCACCTGATTGCAAGCGGAGCTCAGTGAATACTGGGGGTGGCAGGCACACGGTTGGCAGCCCTGCCCGCTGGCTAAGTTCCAGAAGTTGGGGGCACAGTGGTCACAGTTCTGCCCTTGGACGTGGGGCAGGCACTGGCACTGGCCACTGTACCTTTCACATTGGCACCGATCCTGCCCTTGACACGCGCTGGGCACAGTGCCTAGGCTGTTACAGGAGCAGCCTGCAATGAGGAAGATGAGACTCAGCATTCTTATTTCAGAAAAATGACACAGTTAAAAAAGAAAGAGAGAGAGAGAGGCAGCAGTGTGTGTGTGTGTGTGCGTGTGTTCAGTGCTGTAAAGCTGGAATTGACTTTTATTGACCCTAACAGGGCTTTCAAGGGAAGTGAGATATTTAAGGAGGGGTCTTACCAGTTCCACTTCCCCAGGCAGTTTCTGTGGCTGAACAGGGATTTGAACCCTGTTCTCCAGAGTTCTAGTCCATCATTGGTGTACCAAATAGCTAAACGCATGTGAATTAAAATAATTTCTGCAAAAACTGACACTTGTCTCTTCCCAACAAACACTCACGGCGGCAGGTGCGTCGGGTGGCATCGCCATAGTAGCCCCCTTGGCAGAACTGACACTGGTCCCCTTCTGTGTGGTAGAGGCATCGGAGACACTGGCCCGTCCTTCGATCACAAGACGCCGGGTCGGTCATATCAATGTTGTTATTGCACCCACAGGGCAGGCACTGGCCCCTGGCCTGCCAAGGGTTGCCATAGTAACCAGGTGCACATTCATCGCAGCGTGGGCCTAGGTAAGAGAAAGGAGCTGTGTGGGATGGGCTGGAGCAAGCAACGGCAGTGTTGACACCCTCCTCTCTGCTCCAAAACACACACACACACATACACACGAATGCACAGGCATCCAAGAGTTGCGTAACAACTTTACTAGGACCAACCAAAGTTTCACAGAACTGCACAAGCTTCCAAGCTCTCCGTTAGGCAAAGAGTTCTAGAAAACTCAAGAAGTTGCACATTTTTTCTGGTGACATTTACATTGGTCCTAACAAACCTTCTGGCAATTTTTAAGCAGAGGCCGTGCAACTACTTTACTTGTGCTTTATTCCAAATGCACACAGTGTCTCTCTAGAGCCACAGGTCTTTAACAGACTTACAGCCACCTCTGGGCACCGTCCCCAAGGCCCGAAGAGGAGGTCATCCCGGTGAGTTCCTGCATTCTCGCACTCTTCCAACATAACCTGGGCCTTCCCTCCTGCCTTGCAACCCCAGCCCCACTAGGTGACAAGAGAGATCGATGCAGGACTTGCCAGTATAGCCCGGGAGGCAGCTACATATTACAGTTCCAGACCGGCTGTCTTGGCGGCAAGCAGCAGCAAAATGGCGTCCAGAGCCGGGTGCCTCGGGGCAAAGGCAGGGGCGGCAGTGACCACCAGAGGCCAGCAACGGGTTCCCGTAGTATCCAGAGACACAACTGCAGATGTGGGAAGAGGAAGGTTTGCTTATAAACACATGACCCTGTGGCACTCTAATACAGTAGGGTTCCTGCATCCGCAGAGAATCCGTTCCAAGCCCTCCCATGAATGCTGGAAAACGCCAATTATAGTGAACACTATGCATACCGTAGCATGATCTATGGCTCCCTCTAGGGACCACATCTGGTAACTTCACCTTTAGAAATCTATATTTCTACGATTTTCTTCTTTTAATATTTTTAATATTTTCTGAGCATAGATGTGACTAATCAGATACTCATCCCATGGATAAGGGTGTCCTACTGTATACAACACATGCTAAGTCTTAAGGATTCCATATAATGGAGATGGTCTTGTATTAAAAGCAGCAGCACCTAGCACAGAAAACACACACCACATAACTCTAGGTTTCTTGGCTTAAACGGTAATAGCTTTATCTATTTTATCCTTGCTATGTGTCGTATACAGCTTCTATATTATGTTGTTTTTATGTTACTACAGTATATGGTTTTAAAACTTGCTTTTAATGTTATTGTAAGATGTCCTGAGAATTTGGTTCAATGGCATTATATTAATATTTGAAACCTCCACAAAAAAAGCTAGTTGATTGAATTCAACCCGTGTCAAATGGGAGCGCGGGTTTATACCCAGGGCTACCACAGCTTGTGGGCTGGGCTTTTTATGTCATTGAGGCCTGACTGTGAAACCTGCCCCTTCACACTTGAGATATATGTAGGTGTGGCCCTCCTTCAAAAAACGTCTTGAAGAAATAAGTTTTCATGCCTGAAGCTCAAAGCATCACAACCAATGGCGGGGGCATTTTGAAAGTCATTGTTAAAAAAAAGCAACTCTTCTAGGCTTAATACTCTTCTCTCTCACCTCTGGCATCGATCTCCTTCCGTTTGGCCACGGCACTTCAAACAGCTGCCCGTCTGCGAGTCACATTCCTCTGAGCGCCCGTTGCACTGGCATGGCCGGCAGTTTGGGAAACCCCAGTGGCCAGGCTGGCAGTGGTCACAGTGAGGCCCGAAGGCCCCTGGCCGGCATGGACACTGTCCGCTGAAGTTGTCGCAGAAACTGCTCAAGGACCCTTCGCTGTTACACTGACACGCTGCAAAGAGGAAGAAGCCACGGTCATGCCTATCTGGGCCTCTCCAAGACGTCCTGCAGCCTGAGATTTGGCGCAAGGGGGCGTCCCTCCAATCCAGGGCGAGCCCATGACATTCTGCTCCCTGGTGTGAAGACGAGAATGGCACCCGCTCACCCTCCCACAGTCAAGAGGCCCAGGACTGAAAGCCAGAAAAGTTACATTGACACAGGAACTAAAGTTCCACAACCACCTCTCCCAATTTCTGGCAGGAAAAGGCAACAGACATAATACAAATAAGTTTAGTGGTTTAGGTCTCTGGCTGCAGCACCAGAGGTTGTGATTTCATTTCCTCACTGTGCCTCCCTGAGAGAGCTGGACTTGATGATCCATAGGGTCCCTTACAGCAATGCAGTTCTAAGATGGTTATTATTATTATTAGAAGACCACCACCAGCAGTGTGGTTTCAAATGGATATTTATAATTGAGGAGTGATTCTTTCTACTACCAGAAAAAGAGGAACCAGATGGGCTCAATATTTCTGTCTCTAAACTGTCTACATTAACAATGACCATGACTGTATATCACAACAAGTCATGTTGTGGCTTGTTGAAATAGAGTTTGTGCTGAAGAACCTGCTTTTGCTAACAAGCCATGGGTTTGTTTGCCAGTCAGAAACCACTATATAAAGTCATGGTTTGTTGTTGGCATATGAATACTAGCTTGTTTAAACCATGGCCTATCTAAACCTATTATCATTGTTTGTTCCTGTTTTGTCCCCATGCCCCCAACTTCCCAACCTGAAACAGGAGCTGATAAAAGGGATGCAACAGAAACTAACCATTAAGTGGGGAAAAAGCCACAATTAACAGCTCAAGCAACAAATACTGGTTAACACAAACTATGGCTGATGGCAACACAGAAACTTGGCCAGCAATTGGAATGGACTCACTCAGCAGGGACTGCTCTTTGATTTTTTTTAAAAAAAGAACATTGTCTGGGGAGGTAACCTCGCTTCCACTCACCTCTGCAGCCACTCGGCCCAAAGCCAAAGGTGCCAGGGGAGCATCGTTCACAGCGGCGGCCCATGACGTATGGCTTGCAATGGCACTGCCCACCATGCGGGTTGCACTCAGAGCTCAAGGAGCCCTGGGGGTTGCACTGGCAGGCTGGTAACAAACAGAAAAAGTGAGCAGCGGGGAAATAAAGAACAGGAAAGGGAGAAAATGATTTTTCACAATGGACATGGAGGTTCTCTTCCAGTAGTACATAAATGGACCTAAAGCCAGTTAGAGAAGATTATGTACGGCCAAGGTTTCTGCATCCCAGTAGAATGTGCCTGCCCTGCACAAGCAGCCCAACCCTGGCCTTGACTCTAGCATGGAGGCAGAAGGACAACTTGGTGTGAGACTGCGGGCACCACCTTCAGTACAGCACCTGGATTCTCTTTGGTGCCACAAGTGTTTCTCCATCTTTAGCCGATCAACTATTTATACTTCAACTCCCACAATTCTTTGAGGTTGGCTATGTTGGTTGGGGCTTCTGGGAGCTGAAGTCTCAGACATCCAGAGGACCGAAGGCTGAGCACCACTGAACTCCGGTGAGTGACAAGGTCTGCCTAGTAGTGACTTGAGCGGGTGTTGCCCAGGGGGGTTCTCTCCTGCTCTCCAGTAGATTAATACTCACACAGTGCTCCCTGGTGGATGATGGCTGACATGCTGGTAAGCAAGGTGGCACAAGGTTCTGGGGTGGGTGTCTTAATCACCGGACGAGCCTGCTGGACACAGCGGTAGTGCTCAAAGGTCTTTCTGCGGCCAATGGAGGCAGCATCCCCAGCAATGAACATCTCCATGGAAGAATAACGTGGCATCAAGACCAGCTTAAGAGGAAGGAAGTGAGAAAGAAGAATTGAAAGAGAAGAAGAGGATCTGTTCTCGACTACCCCAGAGTGCAGGACACATAACAAGGGGCTCAACCTACAAAAAGCCAGATTTAGGCTGAATATCAGGAAAACTTCTTAACTGTTAGAACAGTGTGACAATGGAACCAATTACCTCCGGTGGTGAGTGCTCCCACACTGGACGTGTTCAAGAGACAATTGGACAACTATCTGTCAGATCTGCTTTGACTAGGATTCCTGCACTGAGCAGAGAGTTGGATTCAGTCACCTTATAGCCCACCCCCACACTTCTTTATTCTAGGATTCAAACAGATCTGGGTCCTTTGCAAAAGTTGCCTCCGGGCAGACTCCAGTTTTCCTTCCAGGTAGTGCCAGGGTTCCACATTTCTGTACTTACGGAGTCAAAGAGCACAGCAACGCTTTGCAAATGATCCCATCCTCCATAGCGGGTGAACTCTACCCGGATGGTGTAGCTAACCCCTTGCTCCAGACAGACCGGCTGCGGTAACACCACATATCTGCAAAACACAAGAGCCTGTTCACAGCAAAATTCAGAATTAAATGGTTTGATAGTGGGAGGGGTTGTACTATATCAGGTGTAGGCAACTGGCAGAGGCCAAGGGGTCACACAAATGCCTACACCAGCCGCCCCAACAAGTTTTTCTTACACAACGTCCAAACTGAAAAATCCTGCTTGTGCTCCCCTCTAGTGGCCATAATTGTTCCCTATTTTTGAAGGCGTGCTTGCGGAGGGGGGGGGCTTGGGTGCTGCAAGTCTCAAAGAACCTGCTAGACAACATAAGGGCACTGTTTCAGATAGTTAAAATTATTATTTTAACTTTGGGGTGATTAAGAGTGAAGGGGGGAATATGTTGCCCACCCCTGTATGATGGCATCTTTCAAGGGTGTCAAATAAGAGATGGAAACATCTAAGGGGTCAGGGACCTGCTACTGCCTCGTAGGACATAACTGGGCTGCCATCTCCCCATGCGTGCCAATGTTTTTGACCTGAGAATGACCATTTGTGCCTCCAGACACCTCTAGAGGTACAATTGACCATTTCTGATCAGCAACCTGTTCCACATTTCAGGGAATGACTTATTCCAAGACTGCAAGTGATGTCTGGTTTATTTTGCATTTTGAAATAAAGCTTCTCAGGCTAAAAATAGATTTGGGGACTTAGCGATACTTATAGTCAACTCTGCCCCATGAGGGCCTCTGTGGTACGACTGGGCATTTTTATGCTATAAAAAGTGGGGTGAATGAGGTGTAATAAGAATTATGTGCTGTCAAGTCAATATTGACTTATGGGAACTTTTTCCAGGGTTCCCTAGATAAGAAGAACTCAGAGGTGGTTGACCATTCCCTTCTTTGGGGGATGCCCTGGGACTGTGCAACTTGCCCAAGGCCACCCAGGCAGGCTCTTCCCCCAGGAAGCACAGAGGGAGATCAAACTCCCAAACTCTCACTCAGCTCTCCAGACAGCATGAGGCCTGCAAAAATGGGCTTAAGCCCTTCCTACAACCCACAGAATCCATTACTTAAGATTCAAGTGCTAACTTTGCTAATGATGGGCTTATCAGCTGTCTCTGTTTAGGGTAAAGAGTGCTATCTTTAGATTTATTCCTTTCTCAGAGGAAGGGATGAGGGAGAAAGAATCTCTACCAATGCTCTTTTGCATGTTTCAGGATTGTGTAAAAACTGCCAGTGCAGTGATTTATTAAAAACCCTTTCTTTCTTTCTTTCTTTCTTTCTTTCTTTCTTTCTTTCTTTCTTTCT